GATCCCAAGAACTTCCCACTCCTGAGGTTGGCAACCACAGAGTGAGTGTGCAGGAGGAGCTCTTCTTTCAGAGGCAAGCCAGGCGGACCCCGAGGAGACCAGGCAGTGGGCTCCTCCATCTCTGTTCCCCCCCCCCCGCCGCCTTTCCTGGACAGCCTGTGGCAACTCGTCTTCCTGGCCTCCTTGTAGTGGCGGTTGGGGGGTGGAGGCGGTGACCCCTCCCCCTCCCGGAACTCCAGATCCCACCTGTCTAGCAAGTGCCCAGCTAATGACCTTGGGGGACACGGCTGCAGGTTGCACGCTTCCTGTTCCTCGGGGCGGGGCAAATCCTCGCAGTGTGTGTCTGGCAGCATCTCTTCCTCCTCCTTCTCCCCCGTCTGCCGTGCACAGTACAGGACGTTACGCATCACACCTCCACCGCAGCTCGCACTGCAAGGGCCCTGTTTGCGGAACCAGCTGAGGAACAGCAGAGCCCAAATGTTGAACGCGCCCCCGATTGCCTTGCACCATTAGCAGGGCTGAGCCCCACCACCTGTCAAGGTCAGGGCCTGGCCCTGAAACAATAAAAAAGCAGCAACTGTCTGGGGAGGGGGCCGTGGCTCCATGGCAGAGCATCTGCTTGGCACGCAGGAGGTCCCATGTTCAACCCCTGACGGCACCTCCAGCCAATGTTCCCTCTAAGCTGGGAAGGCTTGTGAGCAAAAATTCTACTTTGTGAGCTCCTGGCATGAAGGTTGTGAGCCAGCACTTTGGCTACTGCATAAATCATCATCAAGTTTATTGTATTAGCCATTGGCCATAACAAAACATAAATACAAACAGAATCCTTATACATCACATTAAGTTATCCCTTCACTAACTTGCGCTGAATCCTAGCCTTAATCTTATCTTTTTTGCCGCCAAAGCAAACAGGGACATTCTGCTGGTAACATATACATCCATATCAGAGAGCAAAAAAACAACCAACTCCTCTTTTGAGAATCCATTGTGCAAAGGTAAAATAGGGTATATAAATCTCTGCCTAAGTGATTCGTGCCATGAGCATCTCAGTAAATAGTGCTCAATATCATCCACTTCGCCCAAACCACATTGACAGATTCTTAAGGCAACAGGTAAACCCATAAAACGACCAACACAGACCATTGAAGGAATGGCATGGAATCTGAGGGCTTACTGCATACAGCAGTTTGCTCTAGAGCCCTCCTTCCTGAGCTGAGACAAAAATGTGTGAGCTGGAGGCTAAAAAACTGTGAGCTAGCTCACACTAACTCAGCTTAGAGGGAACACTGCCTCCAGCTAAAACCCTAACCTCAGCCAGAGAGCCCGGAGAGCTGCTGCCACTCCGAGTAGACCAGGCTGACCCTGACGGACCCAGGGAGGTCTGAGTCACTATGAGGCAGCTTCACGGCTGCTCAGCTGCCTCTAAGCATGTGCAAAGAGCACTCCCTTTGCCACTCAAACACAGGATGCTTCCCAGTCAATGGACTTGGCTACAGTGTGAGTTTAAACCCACTCAGTTCTAAGCAATGCCCATGGCAGGATTCCCATGGGGGAGCAAAAATGTCTCCCCACGGCTGCAGCAAGTGGCCTGGACGGGGGTGGGGACGGAGTCCACCACATATCCTGTGCCTCAGCTGCTCACCACTGTTGCCACCCCCATCTTTGCCTCCGACCACATTTGACTCCCCGTATTTGCCTCACCGGCGGCACAGCAAACCCGCCCCCCTTTTCCCTTCCCAGAAGAGCCACACTGTGAAGCAACACCACGGATCAGCCCTGAAGAGGAGAGGAGCCTTTTAAAGGGCCAGAGGTGTGTGTGAGGGGAAGGCGGAGCTTAGTTCCCCCAGTCTGAATATGGAACTTAGCTCTGCCCTCCTATTGGCTGCAAGGAAAGCGGCCACGTGGGCTGCAGTCACCAACGCCTTTCCCAGGAGCCCACAAGTCATGCCTGGTTTGTGGTTGCTACCCGCACAGCGGGGGCTTCCCACTCATCACACGGGGAGGGGGGGGACCAGAAGGATCTCACAAGGTCAGGTCCACATTTTGCTTTTCAGATTTATATCCTGTTCTTCCTGAAAAAAGACCGGGGCAGCTGGCACAGAGTCCACAGGACGGATCAGACCCTGCCGTTCAGAGCTCCTAGCGGATCTGAGCCGGGCAGCAGCCAGCGGGATGCCGAAACACAAAACCTTCAGGTCTGTGGTCAGTGGCCACCCTGGCAAGACACTTGGGGCTGCAGACAGGAAGGAGACCTAAGGGATGGCATGGCCTGCCAGGCTACGGTGGCCACATGGGCTAGGATTCTTTGGATCTTCTCTTGCATTTCTAGTCTCTATATGTATATGCAGTGCCCACGCTGGGCACTTTACCTTGGTGGGCATGGCAAAAGATTACAGATTTCCACCTGACTCTCCGGCTTCAGTGCCTGGTCACAATATCCCTCCTCAGTTTCTTCTTTGGTATCAAAGTCCAGACAGACATAGCGCAACAGAACTGAGCCTGGAAGAGAAAGTGGTTGGAATGCATGTTGTGAGTTAGTTATACGGGACTTTCTCCCATCTGGAATTCCTGCTCAGAATCTTTCCCATCGAGTGAAAACAAACCTAACCACGGAACAATGGGGCAGTCTGAGAGGTACTTTCAGTGAATTCAAGCCCCTGTTCTATAAATTTCCAGCATGAACCATTTAAAGAGGGGAAAGACAGCTGTGGAATGCACTTATTGGCTAGTGCCTGAGTACTACCAACCCTTCCCATTCAATCCTCAGAGCAATGTTGCAGTGGTTCAGATAGAAGCATCCATGGTTTCAGGGTTTTTTTTAAAGGGGACAATCCACCAGACGCACAAAAGAAGTGTCAATATTAATAACTGATCTGGCATTCTTCTTGCATTGGTAATGCCACGGGCAAAACCCAGGCTAGAGGGAAACTGGAAGCTCCTTCGCCCCACCCACCCACAGCACCAAATGAATGGGTGCTTTTAAAGGTGAGTCTCCCCGATGTACATCTGACTGCAAGTCTGATCCTGTACCCAGGACCAATGTTCCCTCTAAGCTGTGGAGTCTTGTGAGCAAAAGTTCTCCTTTGTGAGCTACTGGCATTAAAGTTGTGAGCGAGCAATTTGGCTACCGCATGAATTAGATTGCTCTGCAGCCCTCCTTCCTGAGCCAAGATAAAAATGTGCGAGCCGGAGGCTAAAAAACTGTGAGCTGGCTCACACTAACTCAGCTTAGAGGGAACATTGCCCAGGACCCAACACAGGTCAGGTGAATCGCATAGTTATGTCCCAAGCCTGTCACTTGGCTCTCAATCCTTATCCCCAACCAACCTGTCAGAAGCTCTGCACCTCCACTCTGAACTACAGACATCCAGGCATAAAAAGCTCCAGTGCCCAGGTGGGAATGAGGAGCCACACACAAGCCCCCCTGTTCTCACGGAAGGGAGGGTGTCGTCATTGACAAGACACCCCAATGGAAGGTAGCTCACCTCCTCCACAGCTGACCGGGCATTCTCCAGCCAAAGGGCTCCAAACAGAGACTGACTGACTGCGGTTCTGATGGGGCCAAAAGGGGACGACAGAAGACTCCAGGGGGCGCACGTCGTTCTCCTTCAAAAAGGGCAATGAGAGCACAACATTTCACGGAGGTGGCTCAAGCAGTGCGTGAATGATTGAGCCTAGCGGGAACCTAGCAGGGACTGGAAACAGGAATTGTGCTGCCCCCAGTCAGCGTTAACTGTAGGTATAGTAAACTGCTGTGTATCTTTAAGAGCAGTTGCCCCCGGGAATTGTAGTCCTTAATTAGTCATCCCAAAAGCCTCCCTCTGACTGATTCTTTAAGGGTAATTTCCTGAGCCCAGAGGCGTGAACAGGGGTCAATTCGGGGGGGGGATCGCCGTTCCCCCGGGTGAGGTGCGGGGGGCGGGGCACACGATGAAGCCCCGCCCCCTGCTTCCGGTCGGGTAAAATGGCGATTTGACGCACCCTGTAAGTGCTCAGGGTGGACGGGTGTTCCTTACAGCAGTTTGGACTGTATTTTGGTCCAACACGGCTTCCCCCAGGCAGGGGGAATGACTGGCAGGCATCAAGACCCAAGAGAGGGTTGAGATTTGTGTGATCAAGTCTCGGAGGAGGCTTGTATTACACTTTGATCCCCTCTCCCGAAGCGGGCGCGCATTCAGGGGTGTGTGGCCTTATGACACACTTCTGGTGATGTCAGGGTGTGTGGCATATGCTAATGAGTTATGCTAATGAGTCCCCCTAGCTCTTTTTCTACGAAACGACCCCTGGGCGCGGAGATAGGAATTTTATTGTTCTTTTCCGTCTTCTTTGTCCATCCTTACCGCAAGGAGAAGGGGAAACCCATCTCTTTCTCACCACGGCAACTGAATTGACCTGAATCATAAAAGATGTAACTTTCCACTCAGCCATCAGCTCAGATCATGAGTAATGATCTGTTGAATGCATGTGAAGTTTAAATAAAGGTGATTTTCTCTTTAGTGGCTGTGCGTTTGCTCACACCTAGAAAAGCGCTGAGCTTGGCCAAAAGCTGGCACCGGACAGGACAGGAATGCTCTGGTGGGTGTCTTGTGGCTCAGTCTGGGTCGACTCGAGCGGCACCGCTGCAGACTGAAAGCATCAAGCATCCCCGGCTTCTTTGTCCTCCTTTGACTCTTGCGGCAGCAGCATCCAAGAGGAAGAGGAGGAGGAGGAGGAGGAGGCCAGGAGAGCTCCTCCGTCCTGCTCCCCCAGTCAGGGGAGGCCCCGTCGCCCACCCGTGCTCTGCTGCCACCTGACCTGCGAGGCCTCCAAGGGAGAGGGGAGGGGGTGGCACTACCTGGTTCCTCCGCCCTCCTGGAGGGGGAATAGGCCACCCTTCCAGTCCCCTCCCCTCTGTCCTCCACCCAGCCAGAAGTGTCCTGAAGCCCCCTCTCACCTGTTGCGGCCTCCCAGGCTGCTCTCTTTCCCGGGCAGGGCTGGGTGACGGGACCGGCTTCCCCTGGGACTGAACCCAGAGCCTGCCGCCTTGCCCTGCCTGTTCTGGGCACATCCTGGCCTGGCTGCTGCAGCTGCCAGTTGTGTATGCCTTTGTCTCAGCCAATGTCAGTTGACCCTGCAAGTTTGGGACAGGTCCCGTCACCAGACAGCCTCTTAAAGCAGCGTCACTGCCAACCAGGAGTCAGTCATTGCCGTTTGGGACATTCAGTGGGAACCAGGAAGGAGACGGTGCCAAGGAGAAGGGGAAACCCATCTCTTTCTCCCCATGGCAAATGAATTGACCTGAATCATAAAAGATGTAACTTTCCACCCAAGTCCCAAACACAGCATGTTTACACTCTCTGCACCCATCTCTTCGGAGAGGAGAAGGAGGAGGAGGAGGAAGAGAGAGCTAGCGTTCAGCACATCCACACACAGGCATGAACTTTGGTGACTGCCATACATACCCTGTGCCACCCCAAAGGGCAGACGTTCACCATGCAAGAGACAAAAGCAAGGGGCTTCTTCTCCACTGAGCACAGAGCATCCTCCACTACAGTCTCCAGGCCACCAGAAACCTGGATGCAGGAAAGATTCCGTGGGGCAATTCCTAAGCCGCAGGTGGCAGAGCACTTGCCCGGCTTGGATGCCTTCCATCTGGATGGGGAAGAAACAGCAGTTATAAGGTCTGCAGAGTATTTTATTTCCTTAAAGCATCACTATTACAAAACCAAGATCAAACTCAATGTACAGCCTTCTATTGGACCAATCAAATCAGCGCAAAATAAAATTAACCATGAAAGAAAAATGGTGTAAGCCAGAAAGAAGCAGCAAGTCCCAGTCAGAGGAACCAGTCTGATTTTCTTGACTCCAGGGACTCTCCAGAAAAGGGTTATTTTCAAG